GATGTGCCGTCCTCCTCAGGCTCTTGGGGCACAGCTGTAAGTGCTGGTGTTTATGAGCTGCTCCTGCCCATACCTATTGCCCTGGCCTGTGGGGCTGGTTGCTTAGGAACAGATCTGTGAGGTGGCAGTGGTGTTTATCTCTTGGCCTTCGGCAGATAAGGAGTGTTAATTTGCAGTTCATATTGTAGCTGACTTTCTCTGTGCTTTATTAAATGCAGTGTGTTTGAGCAGTGAAAGCTTTCATTGAGCTGAGTTTCCCAGCTGGATTAAAAGCTCAGCATCAGAGGTGAGCTCTGGGAGCAGGGCAGGGTTTAATACCAGTGTGACATTTGGAAGAGTGTCTAGGGGAATGCACTGGGCCTGCATGTTGCATTTCAAAAGCACTTTACTATTTGCCAGCCTTTTTATTCTTCTTGAATTTCAGATTCCTAAGGGAGTTAGACTGAAAGGGGAAAGTTTTTATGCTTCCCTAAAATAACTGCTTACGTCTTATTCCACAGAATTTGAAGCCCTCCCTCCAACTTTTCACACCACAAATGTGCAGCAGAAAGAAGAAAAAAAGCAGAGAGCCTGGCTCAGTACGGGGCCATACCCAGTGCTATGCCTCTGTCCCTGTCTCCCTTTTCTACTCCAGTCCCCAAATTCCTGCCTTTTTGCTGCCTTGTGCCCACCCTCACTTTCTCCAGGTCTCCTGTCAGAGCAGCTGGCATTAGCAGAGCTCTTGGCCAGCACTCAGAGTCACATGTGCCACCCCTGTGGGCTGGGGGATGAGGAATATTGCTGGTTTTATCATGTGTAAAGCAGAGTCTCACAGATCCCACCTTGTGAGCTGCAGCCTACTGCAGATGACAACAGGAGAAAGCTGGTTTGTGTGGCACCAGGGAGACAGCAAAGCAGCAAGGTTATTATGTTCTTCTTTTCACTTTCGGTTCACAATTTAAATACCCACAAGGAACAAATCTGCTTTGCTTCTAAGAGTATTTTTGAATGATAATGTCAGCAGAAATTTCATTTTCCCATTGCCCAAGAAGACAACAGCTGTTTTCTGCAAGGCAGAGAAATTGTAATCTCTACAATTATTCCTACTGTACACCAAAAGGCTTTAGGATCTTTCATTTACTCAATGTAATAAGTGTTTGTGCAGTATTTAGCAGATTGATATTTATTTTCTTGATACTTGTCTTTTTGGGGCTATTCCAATTTAAATGTGGTAATAAAAATCCTATAATGCCAGTATATTTCAGCTCATGTAAAGGAATGTGATCAGCAGCTCACACATGGGTTTTTAACTGTTGTCATCAGAGGAAATGTTCTTAATGCAAGCAAGGCAATAGAATTTGATCCTCAAATGTCTAGATTTGCAATTTCTGAGTACTCAGGTGTGTGATTACTGGCAGGCTAAAGTGCTTTGTGAGATTGGGGTAGAAAGAGTTCTTGCCAAATTCTCCTAAAACTTCTTCTTTCTTCCCTGCACTCCCATGATGATACATGCACTCCCACTGGAAACAACCAGGTAGAAAGAAAAAAAAGAACAAAATATGCTTTTGTATGCATCAAATGTCTCAAGTGCTCCACACATGTGCATTGAGCGCAGTTACACAGAAATTCAAACAGCTACATTTTCTGTAAGTGTAACTAATAATATTGCTGCATTGTTGCCTCACTGAAAGTGGCCCAGGTTCCAAGCAGGATTTGGTTTTGTGCTTCAGGCAGTAGGGTTATAGGCTTGTACCAGATGGAGCTTTTAAATTTTCATCAGCAGGTTTATAAACACAAGAATATCCTTTTATCTGCCCCCAGCTCTTTTACTAATTAGTTGCAACTGTTGAACTTCAATTAGCATGGAGTGGAGGAACAGATGAAATAATATACATTCTTACTCATGATTATCCATCATGTGAGAATGAAATAGACATTAATAATGACTGTTACCAATTTTTTGGGGCTTTTCTATTGGTGCTTTCCCCTCCCCCTCCCCCCCCTTTAATACTCGGTAGTATAAATGAGTGAAAATAGCTAAAAATAATGAGGCAGATTCTCTGGTGATGAAATTCTATTGCAGGCAAAGAGTGAGAGTTTTCAGCCTTGCTCATCTTTGCTTTGACCCCTGTAGGTGTTGGGCCAAGCCAACACAAGGGTGTGTGACAGCTGTGTTGTTCAGTTTGCCATGGGAGGATTTTACAGAGGCATTTATAAAACTACATTTTTCCTGCTGCTGAGAGGTGCCCAGAGAGGTCTAGGCTTTGAAGCAACCCTGCTGTGTGTTAAGAGAGAATCCCAGATTTTCTGAGGGGAGCATGTGCATGGACAGGCAAAGGAATTGATGAGTTGAATGCTGTCTTTGCCTTTAGCAGCACGTTTACTGGCGTGCAAAGTGTGCTTGTGTTCTCTGTGTGTGCTCCAGCTGAGAAGCTCTTTCTGGACCCTGCAGGCATCCTGCTGCTGGGCTTGTTCCCTGTGGTTTATAAATCATTCAGGAGATTTGCACCTTTCAACAACAGTACCAGCTCTCTAGAGGGTATCGAGGAAGGATCTCTACCTTAACTGCTGACTTTAAGGCAGGAAAAGGTTTGGGTGTACTTTCAAACATCAGTCTTGGCACACAGTTTGAGAATGTATTGGAAGATTGTCAGGAGAGCTAAGGAAAGGCAGCACTTTGCAAGGTATAGATTGGTTCTGGGCATTCTGCATCCAGCTTTTCATGTCACAGAATGATAGAATGCTGAGGGGTTGGAGTGGACCTTAAAGACCACATAGTCCCAACTCCATGGATAGGGACACCTCCCCCTAGATCAGGTTCTCAAGGCCTTACCCAACCTGGCTTTGAGCACTCCCAGGGCTGGGGCATCCATCCCTGTTGGCTCTCTTGCCTTGAGAAGGCTTTGCTGGAAAAGTGATCCACTAGGAGGATAGGGCCTACTGTTGGGAAATAGAGATGCATAAATCTGAACCAGTAACTGAAAGAAAACTGTTCTCACAATAATAATAATAATGAAATATGTTCTGGCTAATCAAACCCAGAATATACCTCTGAGACACTTACTGGTCCCTCCTTTGGTGGCTTGTGCTTCAGCATAAGGATGGCAGCTTTATGACCGTGGAATAAAAAACAGTAGAGTCTCTGAAGCTGGAAAAGACCTTTCAAAGCATTGAGTCCAACCATAAACCTTACACTGCCAAGTCCACCACTGAACCATGTCCCCAAGTGCCACATCTACGTGTTGTTTAAACACCTCCAGAGATGGTGACTCAACCACTTCCCTGGGCAGCCTGTTCCAGTGCTTGGCAGCCCTTTCTGTGAAGGAATCTTTCCTGATCCCCAAACTTCGATGGCAGCATTGCTAAAGTCTCCCCTGACAACATGAAACCAACAGAATTTTTCTTTTCCGAGTCAAGCAGGCTTGGTATGTGTAGCTGGAGGCAGCTGCTGCTCTGTCACAAAGTGTGGCTGTGAGCAGAAGGTAGCAAAAAGCCAGCACGACCCAGGGGTCTGCAGTTGCCACAGGAGTCTGAGTCCAAGTGCCACTTGATGGAATTATCAGAGATGCATGAGACTTCAGCTCTTACTTAGCATAGGCTGAGAGCTGACTGAGGAAAATTTGACCTCTTCTCTGATCTGCTATTCTGATGCCATAGCTCACTGTTAAAAGAAGGCCACCAAGCTTTTCTTTGTACTGCGCTGGAAGTGACACATTGCAAGGGGAGGGAAAATTCTATTTAAAATTGCATAATCAGAGATGAAGCGCAATTGAGAAGAAAGATCAAAGATAGGAAGTAGGGACAGGAAGAAAGAGATACGGGGTACAGTGTGTCTGCACAGACAGCTTAATTTCAGACACATTAATGAATCTCTGCTTGGGAAGGGTGGCTCTCTGTACCAGGAGAGAAAAACAGCCTTCTGCCACCACACTGAGACTCCCTTTGAACAAGGTCTCCTACCAAAATGAAGGACTGCACTCTGCTTCTCGTTGCACAGAATTAGAAAAGACCAAGCTGTTTTCTCCCTGCCTGCATCCTGCTTATGTAACTTGCAGATGACGCTGTGCAACCTCTGGCTGAGCCTGGGAAATTTCCTTGTGGGTGACTCAGGTGCTTGGCAAACACTCTGGTGCAGTGGGCTTGAAGATGAGATTGCAGTCACAGGCACTACCAGAGCCCAGTTCAAGGTCTCTTTATGGAACTCTTACTCCTAGAAGATCATCCTGGTCTTGTCACTGCCAAGTGTCCCTGTTGTGCTGTATTAATTAGTGCAAAGCATTCCCCTTGATTGCTCTGAATCCACAGAAAACCACAGCCCTGCCTGTTACCCGGGAATGTGGGTCAGCAAGGAAGGAAGAGAAGAGCTAGACAAGAACAAGTCCTTGGCCTTTGCATTAACTTTATCCATAGGGATTCCATCAGTGTGTGGGGAGAGCATTTAGTGCAGCAGGGCTGCAAAAGGGGGACTTCACGGGGAAGCACAGAGTCCCCCTTTGCAGTCCTCATTCTGAAACTCCATGCACTCACCAGAACAGTGTTGGTTTGGAGGCTGTGAATCTGGCTGAAAGCTGGAGGTCAGGACTGCACATTGTGCTGGAGTAAAATTGAAAACTATGAAAAGTAAGGAATAGGCCTAGAGATGAGGGAAAAAACTGAAACAGATGCAAAACCATCTCAGCTGCAAACCAGACTTCCTTGTGGGTCAGCTGTCATCTCCAGGAGCAGCAGATCCCAATTTCCACCTCTTTGGAAGTGTAACTGAGAGGAGCCAGGAGATCTGTACCACCAAGTAGGTCCAGTCACTGCAGTGTCAAGGCTGGGACAGCTGTGAGGTCCCTAAATCAGCCCATCTTACACCAGTCTGTGCAGGAAGGCCCTGTGGCAGCCCAGCTGTGTTCAGAGCACTTGGTTTGCTCATGCAAAGAGCCTGTTTGCCAGACTGCAGTGGGAGGGGGACAGAAAAAGGCTTTGCCACAGGGATGACCTGGTGACTAATGAGTTTCATTGATCCCTGCTTGCAGGAGAGAGCAATCCATCACCTGCAGCTCCTGCAGGCTGTTCTGCTGGGGGCTCTGAGGAAGCAAACGTGAGCTGCTACCCAAAAGCAGGGCTGTGTGAGCCCTCTGAACCTAATGGTGCTGTGCTCTCATGGGTGTATGAACGTGATGGTGCAGAAGATCCCAGCATCAGGGACTCTCTGGATGGCTTCTACAGAATGTATTGCAGAAGGCAGCCAGAGAGAAAGGATCCGACCTACGAGGCTGCCTCACGGTGTCTGTCACAGAAGATTTCAGAGCTGGAACAAAAGGACGGAACAAAATATGTGTCACGTTGCCTGCAAATGGCACAGTTGGTCTTGAACAGAGATGGATGTAAGATCTTTCCAAACTACCCCACTTCTGCTTGCTTTTCAAAGCCAGCTGAAGGAGAAGTGTTGTTGGAAAACAGGAGGAGGACACCTGGACTCTCAGATGACGTCCTGCAGTTCCTCTTGAAACAAACACAGGCAGAACGTAGCCCTGATGTGTCACACAAGAAGTGAGCAAGACACTGCTTTCTTTCTGTCATGGAAGCTTTGCTGTCCCTCCAGGAAGAGGTGACTTTCTTAGACATTGTTCTCCAAGCACCACCTTCAGCACCAGGTGCTCCATGGAGGGGTTCACCCACACCAGACCTTGCACCTTGCTCTCTGAAGGGCAGCACTGCACGAGGAGCATCTGTGTAATTGCTTGGGATGTACTGACTGATTGGGAGGGGCCATGCAGTGTTTGTTACTGGTGTTTGCATCCTTACCCAGGGTTAACAGTGGTCCAGCCCAAATTCAGCCCCTGGCTGGGCATTGCTGTCTGAGTGCTGGCTGTAACAGAACGTTTGAATGACCTTGGCATGATGTGCCCCAGCCCTGCAGAGGGAAAGTTAAGATTTCATTCTGCACATTTGCCTCCACAGGGTGCCTGTTAGCTCTGTGTTTTTACCTACAGACATATAACCCCACAGTTATGACTGCAGTGCCAGGTGAGTGTTTCTGACAGAAAAAGAGTGTGTGTGCATGAGAAAGAGAAAATACAGCTCTGAGTATGCTCTCTGACAGAGCTTCTGTCCTGTTTACCTCCCCACCATTACCCCCCCAACAACCTTCAGTTCTTTCTTTCATGGTGCTGCTAATGAGATCCCTGGGGGAAAGTTCCTTTAAAATGAAATGGATCTCTGAGCCCAAGGAGGCTGATGTCAGGCAGCAGCAGAGCAATGAGCCCACACACAGACACTTAAGGTTTCTCTTGCAGAAGCCTCCCAGCTTGGTGGCTTCTCTGTTGTTATCTGCCTCTGCCAGGCAGATAAATGTCTTTGTGCATGTTTTCCACCCACTGGCTGGTGGACAGAAGGAGCAGTTTGCTGTAATGATGCTGTTTGCTGACTGGGGAGGCCATTCTCCAGCGTGGGTGTGAGCAAGGAAGCACAGAGTGCCAGAAGAAGGGATGTGTCAAGGATGAGAGCAGATGGGCAAAGGAGGAAGAACAAAAGAAAGGAAGGGTGGTTGGGGTTTCAAAGGTCATCAGTGTGGCTGCTCCAGTACAGCCACAGTGCTCACACCAGTTTTGGCATTTGATGTTCAGTGTTTGCCAGCCCAGCTGCAAACCTCTCATGCACTCCCTGTCCACATTGGGCAGATGTCAGAGTGGGTGTTTGTGTTGCTGTGCTCCCCACGTCACATTCCCTGCTGCAGTCCCACACGGGGCTGCTATTCCTGCCTTGCTGCCCCTGGCAGATTGGCACAGCCACTGTGCTCTGCAGGTGTTTCTGGCAAAGGCAGTGGAAGTTTGGCTGCTGCCTTCAGTCTGAGCAGGAGGGGGCCCAGCTGGCTGCCAGTTATGGCCAAAGTCTTAGGACTTGGTTTAATTTCTCTTTGCAAATGGATTTATATTGGAGCTGCCTGGGTTTAGCTTCCTGTCCTTGAGTAATCATGGAACCAATAACATTTGGCTTTGTGGTGGTCCTTCTCTGTGTGTTGCTTGCTTGCTTTTATGGCAGAGGTGTTGTAGATGTGCTGGAGGGCACACAGAGTATTGGAGCAGACCTTCAGCTGCTCCCCCAGCATTGCTCAAGTTAATGGTGCTAAGGGGGAAGAAAAAAGAGGTGAGGATGCAGCATCGTTCCTGTAGTAGCAAACAAAACCACTCCATCAGAGGTCTGCATCTGAATCCCTTTTGTTGCTGTGTTTGGTCAGTGCTTTGGGTTAGCTTGAAAACCATCTGGTCTCCTATTTAAACTTTTTAAATAATTATTTTAATTAAAAAAAAAAAAAGCCAAAGACATTTGATTTCCACAAAGAAAGCTTGCAGAAAAATAGGAAGTTCCTGCTCTTTAGGAGGGACCTACTCATGTTTGAGACATTCCTACTGGCTTTTGATGTAAGAGAAAAGAAGCTTGGAATGGCAAAATAGAGAAAAGGTGGCTGCTGGAAGAGCATGAAGAGAAATACTGGCAGAGGAGAGCATGAAACTCTTCAATTTTAAGGATCAACGTAGGCAGAACAGACTGGATGCAGATGAAAAATTTGGATTATGACTCATATCTACAAATCTTGGCTGGCATCTTGCAGAGGACATGGTAATCTCTGTGCTGCTGAAAGATGCAGTCTTTTGAGAAGTTTGCACGCCTCAGAATCAGGAGTGCTGCAGCTCTGTGCACTGCTCACTTCCAGTGGATCATGGATATGACTATCCATGGCTTCCTCAAGGTAAAAAGAGGCTTTTTGCATGGCAAGTACCAAGAGTGGCAAAGCCCTCACAGAAGTGTCCCATGTTCTGTCCATTTCCCCTCAGCCTGTGCAATAATCTGAGAAACTGAGTTTATTCCTGAGAGGTGAGGTGCCTTCCTCTCTCCCTGGCTTGCAGCTGACTTAGTTTTGACACCTCTGTGGTTTCACTCAGCCTAGCTCCACAGCTTGTTGGCCTCCCCAGCACTGGTGCTGCTGTCACCTCCTTCATCCCCCTGTGTGTGGAGGCTGCTTTAGCAAAGGCATTTGGGGCTTGCACTGCAGAACAAATCCAAGGGCTCCTTTTCCCTTCTGTTTCTTCAAGGCCCACAGCCGAGGAGCAGCTCTGTGAGCCTGGCTTAGGACAACACCTGAAAACCTACAGCACCTTTCAGGGCTCTGGGAGTACAAGATCCCACAAGATCCTCAAGCAAACTGTGTAAATGAAGTAAAACAGAGGGAATCGGTCCCATAATGTAGGGCAAGCAAGGCCAGAATTGCTCCCCCATTGCCAAGCAGGAGGAACCCAGGACATGGTGAGGACTGGCTTTGGCCCAGGGGTTTCCCTGTGCACAGCCAGATCCAAACCCCAGCCAGGGTGTGTCAGAGGTGTGTGTGCCGGGGTGAGGGTGCTGCTGCAGGCCTGAGCCCCTGCCCAGGCACCCCAGGGTGCTGCTGCAGGCCTGAGCCCCTGCCCAGGCACCCCAGGGTGCTGCTGCAGGCCTGAGCCCCTGCCCAGCACCCCAGGGTGCTGCTGCAGGCCTGAGCCCCTGCCCAGCACCCCAGGGTGCTGCTGCAGGCCTGAGCCCCTGCCCAGGCACCCCAGGGTGCTGCTGCAGGCCTGAGCCCCTGCCCAGGCACCCCAGGGTGCTGCTGCAGGCCTGAGCCCCTGCCCAGGCACCCCAGGGTGCTGCCTCTCCTCCCTTCAGAAGCGCCTGAGCCAAGCTCTTTGCCATCCGTGCTGAATCCCGCCGTGTTGTCAGTCCCTGGCTGGAGCTGCCCCAGGACGTTTGCTGTCCATGGCCTCTCTGCTGCTGGCTCCCACAGCATTTCTGTTTTCCCTCCCACAGGGTGGCTGGTGGGAGGCGCTGATTCATGCCAGTCCTGCAGCCCAGGGCAGCCAGGGAGGGCTGAGCTCCTGCCTCAGGTGCTGAACTGGCCCTCAGCTGGCCTCAGTGAAGTGAATGGAGCCAGGGCTGTTACACCACAGGGATTTTTCCCCAGGAGTTTAAAGGGCTTTGGTATGCCTGGATATATCAGAACATAGCTTGTTAAAACTGCTATATGACAGACAGTGTACATCCTGTATAAATGTGGCTATTCCATTACTGAGCATTGGTGATTCTGTGTGGGGCATGTGTTTTCCCACAACACAGAAGTTCATGTTAAAAATACCCTGTTCTGTAGGCTTTCCCTAATGACTATTTTCCCACACACATCGATTAGGCAACAGCATATGCCAGCATTTCTTCCTTAAAAGTAAAATCTGGCACATAGCACACAGAGCATGAAGTAATAAGATGTGACTAAAGCAATAGCTGGAGCTAACCAAAGGCAGAAAACTTGTGGCTAAAAGGTCAAACCTTTTTTTAAATTGCCTTTGCAATCAATGTTTGTTTGCAGGTGCTGGGACTTAGGAGGGAAAGTCTTGTAATAAAGAACAACTGTCATAAGAAATTTCCCCCTCAGTACAAGCCAAACAAACTTTCACTTGCATTGGAAGGTAGGTTCTTGTAATGGGAGATGTCAGTCAGCCTTGGGGCAGCTGTCACTTTCCAGTGTTACCTCATTGCTGTGAGAGATGAGGCAGAGATGGTGCTAAATGGCTGCTAAAATCAGCACCTCCCGGCAGAGAAGCAGGGTGATTCTGCAATTAAGGGTGCTGAGGTGGGGGTGCTGTGCCCTGCAACAAATCTGCAGTGTGACTTCCACCAATTCGTTTTTCCAAGTTGCCAGCAGGTTGTTTTGAGTATCTGAGAGCTTCAGAGAAAGAGTGAAAGGGCTGTGCCTTTACACCCACATGTCTAACAGCAATTCCCCTCAGAACCCTGCAATTAGAGGTTCAAACAATAACAGAGATTTTGCATCTGTGGTCCAGGCCCCCCTGTTTAAGGAGCAGCCTGTGTAAGTGTTCTGTGAGGCAGCTTGGTTTTGATCCCTGTTTTTGCCTCTTCCCGGGTCTGCCCAGTCCTTGGGCCAAGCTGAGCAGCACAAGATGAAGTGGGAGTGCAGACAAGTGCTCTGCTGGGCTCTGTCTCTGGGAGTCTTCGTGCTGCTGGTCAAGAATAGACTGGTTGCACGTGAATTAGTAGGGGAAAAAATTCTTCTGGCAGAAATTCTTCTGCTCTTTTGAGGGCTGGGGGAGTCTTTGCAAAGGCAGCAGTGAATTAGGCTGAAAATGCAGGGGTGTGCTGGACAAGCACTAGACTGATTCCTGTGCCACTTCCTCCTGTTCCCATTCCCAGGGGGTGCTTCTGCAGCTGATTTTTCCCCAAAAAGGCTCAGTGTTGGGAAAGCCACCCACTGTGGCTTTTTCTTTCTCATATCTGGGGTAGCAGAGTCTCTTTCAAGGTCTCTTTTCCTGCTTTTCCTGTTTGGATCACCTTCTCACCATCAGGGTTACTAGGCAAATTTACACAGATGGAGCATCTTCCTGCTATTTTCATTTTCCAAGGCTGCCTTTAAGCTTAAGCCTTTTAAGGTATTTTGATAAGCTCACAGTATTACACACAAAGGGCCTAAAAGTCTTAAAATCAGGGTATGCAAAAGGAAAAGGATAGTCTTAAGGAGGAAAGATGCTAGCAAAATATTCTACTGCATTTTGTAGGTTTTGCTCTCTCTTTCCTAGGCTTTTTTTGCAATTGAGTTTTGTTCTTTGTGCCAGTGGTGATTCAAAAAAAGGGTGATGGAAAATTTCTTGGGTGATTCCTTTTGCTGTGTGAATACTGCTGGCATAAAATAGATCTCTCAACACTGTGTTTTCAGTCTGCAATTATGTGCAAGGGCATAATTGGATTTTTGTTTCAGTATATACACTGTTCAGTAATAAAAATTTTATTCTGAAATCATTACAGTGTGTGGCAGAAATCTATATGTTTTTATGTTACAAAATGGAAATTTGCCTATGAAATTTCCATGACACTATCAACCACAGAACAGTATTGTTCTTACCAAATAGAACCCTTGCTGAGAGTCAAAGTGCTATAAATATTTAAAGAAATTAATTACTAAATAAGCCAGAGTAGTGCCCCAGTCTTTAAATATTAAATGGAACATGCACAGTTGACAAAAAGCAGGCAGAAACACTGAATGGGGCAATTTAATGGCCTAAATGTAATTATTTGCAGTGCAAAGGCAACTATTAAAGTAATTTTTTGCTTAATGACAGCAGTACTCAAAATATGAGGGCTTACATGTCCACATATCTCTTGCTGAAAGAAATTTCTATCCTGTTTTTTATTCTACTACAGAGGCCCCAGAATTCACCAAGGAGGTTAATTAAGCAGTGTGAGTAAATAAAGGTCGGGGGGTTGGCAGGGGCTGTTTCAGGGAGGGTTTTCTTTGGGGCAGCGCTGGGTGTGCAGCTCAGCCGTGCCCAGCCTCAGGGGGAGAGCTGCTCCAGCCATCTCCAGCTGCCCTCTGGGCATCCCCTGCCTGGGAACTCAGCCCTGCAGTGATGCCAGTCCTCCAAAAGCCAGCCCAGAGAGGTGTGCTGGCAGCTTCTGGGCATTGGCCTGGACTCTTGGTCTGCTCAGGAGGGTGTTGGGTGCTCTTACAGCCCCTGGTCGAGGAGGAGGTGCCCAGGGCTGTGGAGTTGCTTCTGTTGTCAGCAAGGCACTTGGTGACAGCTGAGGCTGGGAGAAGGGTTAGTCACAGCCCCATTTGTAAAGCTGTCGCCCTGATTCTTGAGTTTTCTTAAGCCTTCTGAATTTACATTCTATTGGGAAACTTTCCCACACAGTTTCTGTAAATAATGTATTGTTTTGCATTCCTCCATGGGGGTGGAGAGACTTGATGTACTAGTGCTTTGTCCAATGTCTTCGGAGAGGTGGCCCGTTCACTCTCCAATCCACTGTCACCTTTGGAGAAGTATAAAAGTTGGAGTCAGAAAATAAACGCTCTCTTTTTTGCCTTGCAAGGTAGCAATTGGCTCGCGTTTGCTTTCTCGTGTCCTATAGCGACATAAAGCCATGGGTGATTGTGTCACAGCTGCTTGTGCCCCTGCTCAGGAGCCAAAAGCTGCATTTTGGCTTGATGCCCAATTCATCTGGAGTGATGAACTGGCCAGTTCAAGTCAAAACTCCAAGTTTTGACTTGGAGTCCTGCAGATCATTTTTGGACAGACAATCAGGTGAGAAGTGGCAGCACAGAAAAAATGAAGTCTTGTGACTAAAAATGCCAGTAGTGCCCACATAGTTAGGCAAATTCCAGCTTTCTGTTCTAGGAGAAGATGTGCCTGTTGGTTCCCATCTGTGTCATCTTCCCCATGGAGGCATTTGCCAGTGGAATTGCAGGTGCTAACTTGCATTTCCTGCCTGGAGCAAGCAATGCCAGCGAGTTGCTACTAGGGAAAGGCCTAGAAAGTAGCACTTCATGCTGACTGCAGTGTGGAAAAACTGCCCCATGGCTCCAAAGTATGCTATTTATTTATTTATCTATTTATTATTTTAAACTTATTTTTGTATTGCAGCATTAATCCAGTTTTCTGCCATCTGAGCTGACAAACTGAGAGAAGGATGACTGGGGAGGAAGAGAGGTATGTGTGAGCAGCAGATGGGAAAATGTTCTGTGGAAAACCTGGGATGCTGGATAAGTGGTTGTGTTTATACTTGGTCTTCCTCTCCCACCTGGGTTTTGGGTTTGGTGGTTTCTTTTGTTTCGTTCTGCAGCCTGTGAGTGTATCCAGAAGCCCTGAGGATTTATATCAGGTAGCAGAGGGCTTTTTCCAGAAGACCACAGCATGGTTTGTGTATGTATTTTTCATACCACTTTAATAGTTATGACATCCCTTGTAGGCTTATTTTAAACTCTTTTCAGTTAGGCCATATAATATTTAACCTCATTTCTGTGGAATAGATACATCACTGAAAAACAGGAGCTAGAAGGACCCTACATGGAAGAGAAGAGGGTTACAAGTGAAGAAAATTTGTTTGTGAAATGTCCACATGTGAAAAATTGTTTGTTTGTTTGTGAAATGTGGACATGTAAGCCCTCATTTTTTGTTTTTTTGTTTCAAGAAGACTAAGAAAGACAATTCAGGAAGAGTTGGACTGACCTTTTAAGGTTCTCAAGCAAAAATACCCTGTAAATTCTTTGGATTTTTTAATGAAGAAAAAGACTGGAAGTCAGTTCCATCAGCTGTTTCTGCACTGGCATGAATAAAACCCCACAGTGTGAGGTGCTATATAAATACAGAAAATCAAAAAAAGGTATTTGCCCATGCTACAGAAATTGCCCATCTGCAGCACAAGGGTCTCTCAGCTGCAGCTCAGTTTGCTGGGCACTGGTACCATGTGCTAAGGCCACAGGTGCTGACAGTCATGTCCCACTTCTGTGGAAGAAGGACCCAAAAATGTTTCAGCTGTGCAGCTCCATCATCCCTTAAGCTGCACTGAGCACTGCATGTGGCAAGGTTTCTGAAAGCATTTTGGTTCTGTTAGTAAAACTGGATAGATGGTGGCCTGTAGGTGAAATTGTCTTTCTTCAGACCCATCCTCTTAGCATCTCCTGAATGAAAGAGATGAGTTTGTTCATGAAATGGACTGCAGTGTTTTAATGCTGTGAAAATTGGCATGTAAGAATGAAGATAATCCCCACTAGCACACCTAATTAGAAGAGCAATCCTCATTTTCCTCATGCAGTCTCCTCTCAATTTAGAAGGAGCTCAGGCACAGAAATTTGCTTGTCATCCTTTGAAGTTCCAGCTTCTAGCATGAGCCAAATGTGTATTTTTTTAAAGCATTTGTATTTGAGAGAATCCCACAGGATAAATACTGTTTATTCATAGAGCAATAGATTGTCACAACATTGTGAGGCGTGGATGTCACTGCAATAAGAGTACTGACACATCTGAGAAAGGAGGTTGGGGGGTGCCACTCACAGCTGATCAAATGAAATGTGCCTTTGCCTGCAGTAATCCTGATTTAGTGCAGTCACAGCTCTCTCCTGATCTTCAGAGAAACTCACCCCAGCTGATCCCTGGCTGTAAAAGTCCATGTGAAGTGACACTGCTTTAAAAACAAGAGGCTGACTTAATTAACTGTGGGCAAGGTGCTTGGATGCTCTGGTTTTCCAGTGCTGGCAGAAAAGTCTGTGGGATCCTGTTTTGGAATCCTACCCTGAAGACAGAGTTGGATATACTCCAGCCAGTTCTGTCCCTACGCCTGTCAGAGACCTCCTACGACATTTGCAGGTCTTGGCAGCCTCGAACCTGATCAAATCTGAAAAAATCTGAAAAATCAAATTGAAGGTGTGAAGGTGCTCCCATGCAGACCCTGATGTAACTGATGGCAAAACATGCTATTTATATGCCTGCAGAAGCAGAGAACACATAAAAAGCAAATGTTTCACTTAAAATTCTTTCTCATGAGCAACCAAAGAAGTTGAGGCCAGGCTGAATCCTCACACAGACAGGGGAGGACAAGGGGGGCCTTGGAGCCAGGGAAATTTGTCAGTCTTTTGTAACAGGTTCTTGACTTCCTAAAGCCAAGGCTGAGATCTCCAAAGATGAGATCTCCTGCCTGTGGAGATGGGGCTGGCATAGGCAGCACAGAACAGCATGCAGGAGGGACACTGGGGGGTGTTGCAGGTGGCATGTCTCCCATGGTGGCCAGGTGACTGACTTGTGTTACTTTGCAGAAATTGTCAACGGAGTGCAAGGTGAGCAAGGTGTGTGGCTTTGCCTCCTGGTGTCCCCTCCAGGCTGTCTCCTGAAACAGGCTTCAGAAGGAGCTGGAATTCCTGCTTCCTGCTGGTGAGTTGGACTGGGGCGCTGTGCTAGTGTCCTGTTTTTGTCTTTAAAGGCTGTGTGCTTGTAGCAGCCTGCCATTGTTGATGGACAATAGAATGGCACACAGACTGATATCAGAGGGAGCTGCCAGCTGGGTGGATAGATCCATTGTCCTCCAGGAACACTGGCACTTAGAGGGCCATCTGCTTGGCTCTGCAGACAAAGAAAAAAGAAAACTATAAATACACTTATAATTGGAGATGGCCCTCCGAGGGTTAATGAAAACCAAAAGGAATTCTGCTTTTTGCTGGGCTCTGAAGGGAACCGGGTGGACCATTCAGACTTCCTCATTTTAACTTGTCATTCAAGCTTTTTATTCCACTAAGGATTAATTGGGACAGCAGGGGCTGTTAAAGGAAACGATGTAAAACTTGATCTCTGTACGCTTCCTCTGGCTCCCCAGAGCATCATCAGAGTAAATAAGAGGTTTGCCTGCGGAGATGGATGCTGAGAGCTGTGATTTCCCTGCTAGAACTCTTGGGGAATACTGCGGGCCATTGCCTCCCCGGTGCCATAAGCACTGGGATTACACCCCAGTCGTTCTCGGGGTCTGGGTGTACTGAGTAGGGGAAGGGACAAAAACCTTGCAGGAAGAAAAGGCGGCTGCAGCACCTGAAGAGGCTCAGATCGGGAAAGGGTTTGGAGGCGCGGCGCTGATTTCTTGTGGAAGCTGTGCGAGAGGGATGGGTTAGCGCACCTCCTCCGGAGCTCGGCGGAGGCTCGGCATCCTCTGACGGGGGGAAAGACCTCAGGATGCCGCCGCGTGCTGTGAGCTGGAGAAAGAGGCAGGGAAGCCCCGCTTCGCCCCTTTTCTGAGGCGCGGCGGGGCGGGGGATGCACAGGGGCGCTGGAAGCATGAGTCGGGGGGCGGGCAGGGCGGGTGCCGAGGCGGGGAGAGGGAGCTCGGCTTCCCGGAGCTGCGAGAAAGTTGCCCCTCCGAAGGGGAGGGGAGGGGGCGGCACCGCCCCCGGGGGCTCAGCGGTGACGCAGCTCCGGCGGCCCCCCGCCCGCTCCTCCGCCCCCGTCCCCTTTTAAACCGCACGGAGCCGCCCAGCACAGCCCAGCCGAGCCGAACCGAGCCGAGATGGGGCCGCGGGCGCTGCTCGCCCTCCTGGCGGCCGCCGCCCTGGCAGGTGAGCGGGGCGCGGGCACATCCCGCCGGGAAAGGCGGGGAGCGAACAGCCCCGGGAGTGAACAGCCCCGGGAACAGCGGGGCAGGGATGCACGGGCTCGCTCCGGGAGGGGACGGTGGCTGCGGGAGCCGCAGCCCGGGGTCGGTGGGGATGGCGCTGGGCGAGAGCTCCGCGGCTGCTCCGCCTTTATTTTTATCCCAGCGCAGCATCCTCGCACAAAGACCTGGCGGTGCCGCTTCCTTACGGCGGTGCTGCTGGGGTTTTGCCAGCCGGTGCTGGATGCTGGGAGGTGGTGGCAAAGTAGCGGCTCTGCGGGTTTAACCAACAGGGATTTTTTATTTATTTTTGGCACGCGGCATTAAATACTAAAACCGCACGGTGAGATGAACCTTAAGCGCAATAGAATGAGGTGGTGGCTTGGCTCTGTAGTGTTTTATGCATACTTACATCATTGGTTGAAAGAGTCGGTGTCATTCTGGGTTGAGTATTTTGGCTTTAGGTCTGTTAGAAGTCTCCACACTTCTGGGACTTGTACAGAGACTGTGAGGAAGTTGACTGCCTTCAAGTGCCGTTATTGAAATCAAAGAGGGAGGGTGGGATACGGAGGGGAAGAGACCCCAACACAGAGGAGCTCACCACACTTATACCATAGAGTCTATGGGGGTTTATTACCAAATATTTTTTTCCTATTTATGCCATCAAGCAGATCAGGTACTTCTTTACATCCTTCGTGGCTGTCGCACTTTCAAATGTTGAACTGGTTGAGCATTAAATTCAAGAACTTTCTAGTACTCCTGCAAATCGATATGCCTGAATTTCAGTGATCCTGCCTAGGAAGACACTGTGACATTTTGATGAGGAATGACACTGCACTGAGTCATCTGCACTGATGAAACAAAGCCATGTGGGGATTTCATCAGGGACCCACCTGAAGATCTGTTCTAATCTTGGAGATGCAAGCAAAGTCCGTGTGAATTTGTCCTGCATTTATCATTTCTCATGATATTCATCACCTCTCAGCACTTAGGCAAAATCAAATAATCTGATCGTAACTGCCTGGGCAGACTTGACTCAGGAGGGCTCAGCAGAGCCAGGGCTTGGCTTTGCTTGTTGGGGCTGTGGTTTGTTCCCTGCTGTGTGTTCAGGTGCAGGGTTTCCATGCTGGTGGTCTGGCTCTGCTCTGGAACCCCGCCGTGCTCCGTCTGCTGTGTTCTGCAAGCCCTTGGGTGGTGCCCTGCTGCCCGAACCTGCCGTCCCTTCAGGGTGCTGGCCTCACCCCTCCTGGGCAGGGAGGCAGCTGGCATGGGCTGGCACTGCCAACACCAGGCTGAAGTGGGGCATTGCTGGCTCCCCACCGCCTTCCTGGCTCAGCCCTGGCAGGGCAGCTGCCTCAGGGTGATATTTCAGGCTCTGGCAGGGCTGGAGGCTCACTCTGCTTCTCCAGACAGGTTAATATGACATTTGTCCAATAGCATTTGGTTCTCCTGCTGTCGTTACGATGCTCTCTCTCTGTTCATGCTGGCTTTCAGTGTTAAACAAGCTCTTGGGAGCTTTTGAATGACAGCAAGGACAGTGGGTACAACCTGACTTTGTCTTTCTGTGCCACTGACAGCATTCACGGGGTGGCCTGAAGTAGGAAAAGATGTCTAGGAGTTTGTCTGCTCTGTGCTTTATCCCATCACCTGGTGTCACTCGCAGGAGATGTGCTGTGGCTGCATCACTAAAAGGACAAAATCAGATGTTTGCCCTGGAGCCTGTCAGCTTTTCTCAGGGGCTGGAGGAGCAGAGGAGCCTCCCCAACAAGAGCCTGTGAAGGGGCTCTGTGCTTTCATGTGAGCCTGGGAGCAGCTCCTGCTGTAAACGCAGCATCCCCAACACCTGTGGGAGCCAGAGAATGTCTTTTTAAGAATAACATTTCTGGTGAGAGGGGCTTTGTCCCCTGCCCTGTGTATGCACTCTGCTCCTCCTGCCCGCAGCAGCCTGGTGATGGTTTGCACACTGGCTTAGGAAAGGAGCCCAGAGCTGCCTCAGTCAGCCAGAGATGGGGGAGAGGGCTGGCTCCCAGCACCAGCTCCCCTCACACACCACCTGCACTCTGCGGGAATGCAGTGCTATTTTAGGGGAATCCCTTCTGTGCTCTCCTTGTGTGGGTTCCCTTCTGAAGGCACTCAGGGAAGGAAGGGATGGGGGCTGGAGGAGCAGCACACCCCTGAGTGTGTGTTTGGGGGAGAGCACAGAAATAGCAGGAGTTATTAGTGTGTGATGCTCAGCTATTCCACTCTGAGTCAGTGCTCCAGGGGATGTCTGCTTCCTCTGCCAGCACAGAAAATAAAAAGGTTATGCTGCTTTAAATAGTGTAAGGCTACGTGCTCCTGTCTTCCTTGGGGCAGTGCTCATTCCCCTGATGTTGAGAGGTTAAACTGAGCTCCTTGATCTCCATGATGTGCTGTGTGTTCATCTATTTCAGGAGGTCTCTCACTGACCCAGCCAGAGGGGTCATGGTTGTGTTTAGGACTCTCCTGACCCGTGCCAGGACTTCAGAGCTGCAGCCCAAGCTGTGTGTGTGTGTGTGCTGCGATTCTGCACCGTGTGGGAACCTGCAGAGCCGGGATTCAATGGGCCCTGCTTCCACACGCTGCTGTGGGGCTGGCAGAGGTGCTTAACCCCCTCCTGGAAAGCTCCAGGTGGATGGCAATTGACTCAGTTTATTAATGACACACAGCAGCCAAGCTCATCAACCAGCTGGAGGCATTGCAGCAGTGATGGCAAAGTCAGGCAGCACGGAGGGTTTATTGGCAGTAGCTGCTTTCCAAAAGCAAACACTTTGGCCCAGGTACAGCAGAGCTGGTGTAAGGAGGTGTGAGTTACCCCACACGTCCTCAGGGCAGAGAGAGAGGGATGGGTTGTACTGCTTCCTTCCAGAGTAGTTTTCCATTGAGATTTGAGGGGGTTTTGCTTATTTCTTGGAATGATAATGGACCACTCAGTGAATGGAATTTTTTCTGTCCCTTCTGGCTCTCTCCATCTTTGCAGGAGCCACCTCCAAGTGAGACAACGTTTCTCCAGCAGGATTGCGACAGTAGCTGCTTTAAAGTCTTAGAGAATGGTCTGCTGTTGGCAGGGGGTGCACCTAGAGCTTCTTCAAGAAGCCAAAAGATCCTTGGGCTGCAAACAGGCCTTGCTTGTTGGGGTTGATTTATTTTGTTTTTACCATCAAACAGGTGCTACGACATAAGGACCTGGTTTGAAGTAAAGTTCCATTTTGGAATTTGAATGTGGCTTTCTTTGGTGTTGCATTTATTGTGAGTGGGATTATTCTTGGTGTATATTATTTTGGTGCTACAAGTGTTAATGTGGCTCTTCTCTCCTGCTATGCCTCAATTTTATGTGGCTTTTCCATCCAAATAAGGAAAGATTTAATGTGGAATGTGCCTGGTTTAGTTGTCTGCCAATCCAAAACCCAAGCTGTCTCATCAGACCAATTTGACTGAGGACTCCTGTCAGCGATGCTTGTGTTAATGAATCTCTAATAATTGGTTTTTCTTCCAGGTGCCAGCACAGTTCCAGTGGAAAAAGACCATACTGAAGAAATGGTGAGTAGCTGCTTGTCATACCAACCTCAGAAAATATCAGTGATGTGTTCTCCATTTCTTTAAACTCTCAGGGCAATGCTTCATTTTTTTTCCTAAAGGTAAATTTTTAAAGAGCTCATGGCTGGTGTGGAACTCGGAGTGCCTTTAGCTGCCAGGAGATGCCTGCCTGCACCTCAGTGTGTCTGGTGGAAATGGGAGCTGCCTCTTGTGGCAGCGTGGTCCTTGTGAAGCCCTGCACTGTACAGCTGCTTCAAAAGTGATCTGAAATATCCCACTGTACATGTTATTGTGCTGACAGCTTTGGGGAAAGTGGAATACCTGCAGTTACCAACTGTGTAACAGACTTTCTGATGTGGTCCTTCCTCTCCTGCTTTGGGAAGAGATCTTAGCCTGTGTGACTCAATAAATGCCATCAGCTGCTCCCAGACCTGACACCAGACCCCCTGCACTGATTGTTGCTGTGATCATTTTGATCAGCAAACACCTGGTAATAACCAAAAATAGTTAAAAGACACCAGACCCCCTGCACTGGTTGTTGCTGTGATCATTTTGATCAGCAAACACCTGGTAATAACCAAAAATAGTTAAAAGACAAATGGCTCTATCAATGTTTCACTGTCTCCTCCCAGTCATCCCCACAGATCATCAGCCTGAGGCTCTTGTGCCGCAGCAAACAGGAGCACTTGCTCTCACCATCATCTTCAGCACCTGAAAACCATTTTACACAGAGGAGATAGTTTGGCAGTGCTTAGAATTAGAGCACACTGTGTGACTTTCCTAAATCAATCCATTTTCTCTGCTTCCAGACAATCCAGTTGAGTGTTCAGTGCTAAAAACCAGGCAGGACTCAGAGCACACACATGTGAAAAGCTGTGGAGTGTGTCCCTTACAGAGGACATGGAAGTGTTTGAGTGTATTGCAATCCAAACTGCCTTTGCAGCATCCCCATCTGGACAGATCCTACAGGATAATCCTCATCCTTTGAATGTGTGTTGTGTCTGTTTGTTTTATAGGGTGTGTTACCACACGGTGTTTGACTCTCCTTTGTACTGAGTGGGGTATTTAATATTTAAAAAGGTACAAAAGAAGCCCCTTAGCTCTGCAAACAAAAAGGGAGATCAAAAGGCCGGTCTGTTCTCTTCCTGCTGGTACAGGAGTGAGGGGCAAACCCAAATGCACAGGATTACTCAAAACTCATTAACAGTAGCCTGAACTCCAATCTCCAAGAGGCTTTTCTACCAGCTGGGTCAGAAGTCAAGTTTCCATTTTTGCCATGAGGGTTTTCTCTCCTGTTTTGTCTCTTCCAGGTAACCCGGTGCATTGTGGAGGTCCTGTCCAACGCTCTGTCTAAGCCAAATGCACCCCCCATCAATCCTGAATGCAAAGAAATCCTGAAGAGTGAGTACAACCTTAGCTGAACTTGGGAAAGGAACTGGTGCCTGGTGTTGGAGCTGGTGAACTGTTAGTTCAGCCTCCAAATGTCAGTGCCAGAATTCTGGTTCCCTTCTGTTCAGTCTGTCTCGCTCAGGGAACAAACAGCCTGACCTGGGAATTGTCAGGGATTCTTGCCTGACATTTGTTGCTCCCTCCTTGAACCACCTGGAGACTCTGAGAGCACTTGACAAACTCTTCAGGTACCCTGAGAAGATGAAACATAACTATTGCAAAGCTTCAGATTTCTTTGATTTTTTTTTTCCAGTCAATTAAAAAAAAAATTAAATTCCTTTTAAAAAGTTCCCAGTGTTTTGGGTAGCTTGGAATAGATGGTTGTCTTTTGATTGTGAATGAGCATCTGTGATGGGCCGTCTGACATTCAAAGAACTGAGCACAACTCCAGATCCCATTGATTTTTAATGGGAATGAGAGCTAGTTTGACTCAGTACTAAAAATGTGATCGCAAAAAAAGCCAGAGAAGGAAATTTATTCTGGAAATTCCAGGGGAACTTGTAAAACTCCTAATTAAGTGGAGTTAATTAGTTAGTTAATCCTTTTCCAGGCAATCATACATAATAGTGGCAAATGAATGATTTTGAAAGCGGAATTAAGAAATCAGTTCTGTCCAAATTTCCTTGGTACTTTGGGAAGCCATCACCTCTTTGAACTAACATTTCAGTGGAGGGTTGGATTACTCCATGATGCTGCTTTTGTTATTGTAGGTGATAAAAATGACAGAGAGAGAAGTGAAAAGGAACAGCCTGAAGTGAGGCATCCCAAGGACCCAGCAGAGACTGAAAAACATCCTGCTGGGAGCGTGGAGAAAGAACAGAGGCAGGCAGAAGAGGAATCTAAAAAGTACATGGAAGGAGGTGATGAGGAGAAACTTGCTCGTGAGGAAGGTAAAAGTGAGGAGGAGGAGGCTGGACACCACACACCTGCTCAGGATGAGACACTTCACACAGAAGAAAAAAAGCATTACCAGGAAACTGGGAGAGAGGAGGAGAGGAATTACCACAGTGAAGAGGAAAGCAAAGAGGGCAGGTGTTGTGAGGATGTCGAGGCTGCTGTTCTCACCAAGAAGTCCCACTCTGAGGGCATGAGCATGGATGAGTTCCGTGGTGGGAATGATCAGAGCCCCAGGGGCCACTGGCACCTGGAGGAGGGAATGCAGAGCCATTCCAAGCAAATTCGGGAAGGTGAGGAGGGAGAGGAAGACAGGAGTAAAAAATACCACCATGAGCCTCAGGAACGTGGCTTCTCCCACCAGCAGGAGCGTGAAGAATCTGAGGAGAGTGAAGAAAGAGAGGAAAGAAAGGAACCCTTCAAGGGCAAAGGTTATGGTGGGAAGCACAGAGCGGGGGGCTCCTATGAAGAGAAGAGGGGCCATGGTGGTGAGAGGGGGGAGCCAGCAGGGGAGGCCAATCTCTGGGAGCAGTGGAAGCACCATCAGAAGCATCAGGAAGGGTCTGAGGAGAAGGGGCCCGAGGAGCTGCAGGAGGAGAGGCCTGCAGAGCAGGACAGTGAGGAGCACACGGACAGCTGGCAGCAGAGCCAGGAGAGCAGGGAAGAGCAAAACAAGAGGCACCACCAGAGCCAGGAGAGCAGTGAGGAGAGGAGGCAGCACGATGGAGCCCACCCTTCAGAGGGGAGGCTGTACCCTGCTGATGAAAACCAGGAGCAGCTGGCTAGGTACCTCGGCGAGGAGAAGCAGCGCCGCGTGGGAGGGAGAGCCCGCCCACGGAGCAGGGAACACCAAAGGTCCCAGCAGGCTGCAGAGCACAAGGGGCAGGCCAGCAGGCACCACAGCACTGAGGACAGCCTGGAGGAGGAGCAGGAGCTGGTGGAAAAGAAACATCGCAGCAGTGACCAGGTGGAAGATGAGGAGGAGGAAAGGTTTGCAGAGAGAAGTGAGTACAGAGGCCATCTCCCCGCAGAGAAAGAGAAGAGAACTGCAGCAGCCTACAGGCCTTTCTACCCGCTGCTGTGGTGGAAAAGCCGGCACTTGGACAAAAGGGACAGTGCCGGGGAGCAGCTCCCGGAGGGCAGGGAGGAAGGCAGGCCCGCCCTGAGTGAGAAGAGCCTTTTCCCTGAATACAACGACTACGAGTGGTGGTCAGAAAAGCAAATCCAGAGCGCTCTGAAGCACCGGCGCAGCGACAAGAGGAATCCTGGCAAAACGAACAGGTACGATGTGGAAAGGCAGTACAAGAAGATGGATCAACTTGCACAGCTTCTCAACTACAGGAAGAAGTCAGCTGAACTGCCAGGGCTGTACAGCTCTGGAGAAGAGCTGAAGAAACGTCCCGTGGCTGGGAATGACAGAAGGAGCCTCAGCCAGAGGCCCCTGACGGAAGAGGAGGTAAGTGCACAGCTTCTCTGAAAAGCTGGGGGAAACACACTGCCAAATCCATTCCCAAGGCAGCTGGGAAACTGTGCCTAGAAAAACACAAACAAGATTAAACCATAGCTTGAGAGGAGATCTTCAGTGATTTAAAAATCTGCTTTCTTTGAAGAGTGGAACTTTGAGTTTGCTGAACTACCCCAGGGCCCAATTTGTGGGATAAAGACACAGCTCCTGTCTGCTGCAAGGCAGGAAAGATTTTATTCCTCTTTGGGCCCTGCCTCTCCCTCGAGGCTCTACAGACTGACAGAACAAAGGTTTGCAGCAGGAGCAGAGAAAATGGACAAGCACCACTTGGGGCTGTGGGTTGTTTAAAATACCGAGCTGAAAAGTGAGTTGGGTGTTCAGAGGGAAATCAGCTGCCCATGGACTTCCCAGCCAGAACTGCAGAGCAGAACCTGCATTGCACCTCCCATGTGTAGTTCACACATAGTGAATCTTTTTTTTTTTTTTTTTTTTTTTGCTGGACTTCCTGTTCTGCTCCAGTATCCAGGCAAACTGAGCCTACAGCCATCAGGCAGATCCTCCCGGTGTGTGTCACTGTGTGCAGTGCACAGAGCTGTGCTGGGAGCAGGGAGGCTGGACACTGATTCATACAGGTGCCAGTTGCTGTTAACAAGTCATCAGGTAAAACCTGGCTGCAGAAAGCTTCTGCTGCTCCGTACCTGCGGAGCTGTGCCCTGGCTGCACCCTGTGCTGGCTGTGGGACACCCAGGGACAGCACCTGCAGCTGTGACATGGCAGGAGGCCACCTCATGGGGGGAATGGTGCTTAAAATCTGCAAGGATGAGGCTGGCATTAGGGACAGCTCTCACAATTAAAATGTTGATGCTTTCTCCAGCCTGTATTCAGTCCAAAGCAGAGAATCGCACCAATCTCCCAAGTCTTTGCTGCACTGCTGTTCACACCTGCTCTGCCCAGGGACTGGGAAGTGGCAGGACAGAATCTGCCTTAAAAAAGATCCTTTCTTTCTCTCTCCTTTCCCTGGAACAAAACATTTGCCAGCGTTAACTTTGATGTGTTTTCACAGGAAAAGCAGCTGGAAAACTTGGCCACCATGGATCTGGAGCTGCAGAACATAGCAGAGAAGATCAACAGCCTCAGGAGAGGCTGAAGCTGTCCTGTGTTCTGTGGTAAAGTCACTGCCACTGGATTGTTGTTTGCCCTAAGCCCAGGAAATTCTACTCACTGTCCACTCTCGTGTAGTGATTTACACAGCTGAAAGTGTCTTTAATTTGCTGTTATGCTCCTGAGACCTGAATGGCATGAATTTTAGTAACATAGCCTTTCATGTGGGCAGGTATTTTTAATATGCTTTTGGAGATAATTGTGTTAGTGTTCTTCAGGAATATATTTGTCTGAGTTTGCAATAATAAAAACCATTGATCTTGGACCAAACCTCCTCCTTGTTCACGTGGCTGATGGGGTGATTTCAGAGTGAGCTGGCTCAGGTGTGGAGATTGTGCACAGACTAGTGGTGCTCCAACGCTCTTTTAAAAGTTACACAGAGCCCATCCGTGCATCTTGTTTGCCAGTTTGCATGAGCATGAGAGGGAAGGAAATTTGAAATCTTGGTAATGATTTATTTCTTGTTTCCTTCCTCATTTTCACTGCATTTTCCAAGGATTATAGCACATTTGAAAATTGGGATTCAGTGCTGAGACGGTGTCAGAATCATTGCTGGTAAAATGGAGCCAGTTTGGCCTTGATCCAAATTCACTCCTCATGTCTTCCAACATTGTTTACTTCTCAAACTGATCTAATGCAAATATGTTTTTCCCATATTATTAATTTTTATTGTCACAGTATCTAGGATAAGCAGCTGTCTAAACCAAAGAAATTGTGAAATCTACACCCTCTCCTTTTATGGGCTGTTCACATAAGGTGGAGAAGAGAGAGAAGAGAAACTTCCCAAAAAGTAGAAAAACAACAGTGGGAAGTTTACAAAAAGCAGAGGGAGATAAAACCTGAAGATGTAGAGTACCTGTTCTCCCAAGAGGAACCTTAAACTGCTTCTTTCCATGAAGTACAACCCCTGTTTTCAGCTAAGGCTACCCTAAAAGACCATAACTCTTCTCAAAATACTGAATTTTACAGCTTTATCAAGCCCAAAGCTCCAGGTTCTGTTCAGACACCGATGAGGGAGTTCCAGAATGGAGGCCAAGCTCTTCTGGCCCTACTGGGGTGTTATGGGGTGCAGTCAGCAGTGTATTGTCCTCCTCAAGCCTATGCTGGACCTTTTTATTTCTAAAAAGAGGGAAAAGTAAGAGAAAAGATAAACCTCTTTAGGGAAAACACCCTGTAGTTTAATTGAAATGGCAAATGCAAAGTTGAAAAAAATGAATAAAAAAAGCCTGACATCTGAAAGATCTAACAGTAGAATAAATAAATATACATACAGCAGTTTTCAAAATAGTAATATCTTAAAAACATACAGCAGCTCTCAGAAAATGTCTCGGAAAATGACAGA